AGTATTTGTTCCTTTTAGAAATACAGAAGATTGACTTGCTATTTTTTGACTAATGGTATTGTAAAGGCAAGGTTAAACAGCATTATGAGCAAGGTGAGCATGATTGATACCTATGCTCCAGTGCTTTTTTTACTTTCATGTTATTTTCTCATTAAATATAAATATGATGAATAGGGATTGTGGACCAAAGAAGGTAAACTCAATACATCCATAAGGAGATAAAGAGAAATTTGTCAAAAGAAGAATTTTCATTTTATGAATTAAGACGCCTCAAACTTATCTTTGAAAAGAGTTTGATCAGATTTTATGATTATGTTAGTATAATAGGATGCAATATATATTTGGCTAGATCTTCATAAAAAAAAATGGCTAGATATTTAGACTAGAATAAATAAGAGCATTCTCTCCACAACTAGAATTACAGCCAAACCTCAATCAAAAGAAAAGGGAAAAAAAGATATTGATAATGCAAGAAGATATGTATTATCGAACCTGCAAATTGGAAGAGTTGAAGGCTCCTAAACGCCCCATGACGTACCATGACTGAATAACCTGTATAATTACTTCATATAATGAGGATCTCAGGTTTGCCATAGACAAGATGAATGTTTGGAAGAATGACAAAAATCCCAATACTTGTCACAGAGACAGGACAAACAGAATATATACTCAACGATTAAAATTTCATCACGTATCAGGGCGTATTGGCCGATACGTATCGGAACGGGGCCCCTCCAATATGCCCCTACACAAGGTGTTTCGGGGTCCCACCTATTTCAGTAGGTAGACAGGCCTAAACCGACCCCCCTGAACAAGTTTCGAAGAAAAAAAGCTTAAAAAAAAATAAAAAAGAAGAGTGAGCCAAGATACAGCCCAACATGCCCCTACAGGCATATCAGGCTGTGTCAATATTTTGAACCTTGGATATACTCACACTACCAATGAGGTCAACATCCCGGTCAGATGGCGATCCATATAGTTCAAACCAAATGTAGGAATCAAGTGGATTGAAGCTGCACAGACAAACACTTCTGTAATGTCAACTAGTACAAGTATTGCTTATATTGAAACCAAAGAGAAAAGGAATCGTTAGTTTGTTACATCATAATGCTTTTTGTCATGAAGTGCTGAATCTAATCAATATTCAGATTTTTTTTATACATTTGACAAGTGTTTATTTGTTAAAAAATAAAGAAAATGGAAGAAAGAATTCTCCAGTTTGCTTCTTAACCAATGATACATGGTCACCTGTATATGCCTAGCATACCGGTATTGTATAGTGGATACTCTATGGATACTTCTAGACATACTCTATAGAATTACCACCTTTAAAATATGTAAAATCACATGTTTTAAGAAATAATACTAAAAAATATCTGAACATCTTAGAAATTTTATTAAGTTTGGAAAGACATAAATATTGAAAAATGACATTTAGCTTCAAAAACTGGATATAAACACATGATATATGCAATATTACATTGGATACTAAAACCAGTATCCAAGATTGAAAGTATCAATGTGATACACCCGATACAGGGTGTATCATATAGGTATCTAGAGGGGTGGGCACGGGGCATAGGTGGATTGGGAACATTTGCAGAAATTCCACTTGTGCCAATCCCATCAGATAATGCATTATGTCTTTTTCAAAAATAAAAGAAAAAAAATGCATCATGCCTTTTTCAGGGGCATAATACAAACTATACAACTGAATAGTGAACACGAAGAAAATGAGAAGCAACACAACTTGTAAGCAAATGATGTTCCTGAGCATCACACAACCTAACCTGGACAGGTTAGGTACCACCATATCCCCTCAAAGGTGGCTTTCCTAACCTGGACAGCAGCTCTCAGGAAGTGCCTAACTAGAGACAAATTATCCAGCAGAGGCATGAGTCTCCCTTCTACAAGCTGTCTTTTGCAACAGTGACTCAGAGACTGCAGACCACCTCTTTATTCATTGTCCCTTCAGCTATAAAATCTGGACCAGCATCTTAAAGGCTATCAACATCAGCTGAATTTTCCCAAAATCAACTCTGCAGTCCCTATCTAGATGGAAAATGAGCAGGCTGAGCAGCAGAGGCAAGGTGATATGGCATATGATACCTGCAGCTATTTGTTGGACTGGATGGAGAGAATTTGAAGAATTTTTGAAAATTCTTGCTCACAATTTACTGAAATCTTTTGGAACATCATTGCAAAAATCACCTCCTGGAGTTGAGTTCATAAGAGTTGTAAAGATTTACAGTTTGGTTCTATATTAGAATCCAGGAGCCTTTTCTGAGATTTGTTTTTTGGACAAGATCTTTTGCCATACAGATTCTCACTGTCTAGGGGTGGTGATCTCCACCCTCCTCTCTGTTTTGTCTATCAATGTAAATACGTTTTATCTTTTCTAAAACACAAACGTATCATGCAACCTAATGTTCAACTTTTAGTAATAAAGCTTAAAGCAATATGTTTTCTAAACTGTTCCCCGACCTACACGTTATATCCCCTTCTAGTTCTTTAGGTAAGGGGGTAAGTGGCTAGTTGATTAGTGGCAAGAAAAAGGATTTAGAACTAGGTATATTGTATTGTTAGCACTCAAAGACTTCATCAACTACCTACAGATGGAACTAGTCTTCCCATCTGCATAAGCAGTATTCATTATTTTATTCTTTTTCCGTTTCCCATTCAACAGAAATGATTCATTAATATATAGGGAGAAAAAATAAAGCAAGGAATATGGTAAACTGAACATGTGTGTGCATACTCTCTGAAGCTGACTTTGAAGGCGAGGACAGAACCCGTTTTGGACTTGCGAAAATCTCGACCTTTCTTCCGAACCCTTTCTTCAACCTGCCAGAATTTTATACAATTCTTTGTAATATGCCCAAGTAATTGAAGCTTAAAATTTAGAACAATAGTAAGAACTAAGAAGACAGAATTGGATTCGTAATGATTACTACTTTCATTATCAATAGAACGAGAAAGCATAATCAAACCAACCAAGCAATATCAAAAATAAAAAGAAGAAACGCATAAACAATGTTAAAAAGGCATACCTTTTTCCTCATTTGTTCAGGGTTTCCAATGCTATCGCCGAGGACGGCTCGGAGCTCAGAGTCATTTCTGCAGGCATCTTCTAAGATTCTGCATTCAAGTTGTGCTCACACACGCACGCACACTCCTCAGAAAGCAGTAGTCAGAGAGAGAGAGAGATTAAAACAAGTAGAGTGGAAATTACTTGGCCCAGGAAGGATAGTTGTGGAGACGGTCATATTCGCGCTTTCTCTTCTCCTCCTTGACTTTGAGCAACCTGCGACTCCTGGCAGTCGTTCCCGACCCTTTTGCTGCCATGGTATCCTTGTTATTGATGGTGTCTCCTGAGTTATCCGAAGCGGCAGCTCGAATCATTGCCAGACGACGCGAATTAGAATTCACGTCGCCAATGATGGGTAATGATATGCTCTCCTTCTTATTCTTGGTGAACCTAACGAAGAACCTAGATGGTGACGGAGGAGAAGGAGAGGAAGAAGAAGAAAAAGGTTTCCATGGAGTAGGATGGGAATGAGGATGAGAGTTGACATAGGAGCTGCAGCAATAGTTCATCTCGTTTTTCCACTTTGGATTATAAAGTTCAGCAATTGTAATCTTTCTAATCAACCATACTCTCTACTCTCTCCCTCTTCGATTGAGTCTTCCCCATTCCATTCTCTGAACCAGAAAGGCAGAAATCCGTCCAAAATATTCTGAGTCTGAGCTTCCGGACAAAACAAGTAGAAATTATCTTCTTCACCGATGATTTTGGTTTTTCTGTAAAATATAAAAATCTCCCTGGCTTTTCTAACAATCTTATAAACCTCCCCCCTATGTTTTCACTTCAATGAAAACCTCCCCTGCTGCATTTGCAAATACCTCCCTTGTTCCCTTCCATTGGTTTTATAGCAATGAAATTACCAAAATGCCCTTAAAACTTTTAAGGCATATAATGCACAATTTTAAGTTTTCAACTTTATCCTTCCCCATTTTGTCTTCATGTCCTCACTTTTCAATGTGTAAGCAACGCGGATCGGTGACTCCAATTCGGTTAATTAAGTATAAGTGTTGAATATTTCAGCACAATTAATATTTCAAAAATTAAGATTAAGAGTATTCTTGAATAAAAAATAAATATAGAACATTATAGAAATAGCTCAAGAAAATAAACATTTGAGAAAGAGCATAACAAGAAATAACAATTAAAAGATAATCCTAGGGCTTCTATGTAACAACCACAATCTGAAAGGCCCATTTTTGCAAGATTATGGGCTAGCAGATTGGACTCCCACCTAGCAAAAGAAAAAAGAAATGTTCAAGTTTTTACATTCTTCGAGAATATCTTTATAAAAAACGAATGCTTCATAAGCATCAGATGGATTCTTTGTGATCAACACCAGAACCAGGGATTTACTATCACTTTCTATCACAAAAGGACCTTTGTTTAGTAGCTTCCCTAGCTTCACTCTTTGGAGGCAAGCATATGTTTCGGCTTGGGTGGGAGAAATTGCATCTAAGTGGCCAAAAGATACACCTTCCAACAGACCCAAATGGTTTCTAGCTGCTACACCAAAATTCGCTTTCCCTTCACACAAAAAGCTGCCGTCCACGTTTATCTTCAAAAAGTTTGATTATGAGGGGTGCCACAAAATGGTTGATTCAGTAAACTCGGGCACTTGCAAAGTACCTGACCATTCTTTCAACAAAGTCCTCTTCCTCTCATTCCAGGCTCTATTGAGACATATGAGATTTTTGTAAGGGTTAGGCAATTCATTATTAAAAACAAATTTGTTCCTACATTTCCAAATAGTCCACAACAAGACTTTAGGAAAAACATAGACTTTAGAACATTTTCAAAATGACACCCAAAATTTATAAATAGACGACTTGGGATCAATCTTGCTCATCATAGCTCATTCTCTTTCTCTCATTTAGCCTCTTCCCCCATTCCAACAATGGCCTGACCCTTGGTCGGAGGGTATGTAAACAACCTCTTATTTGGGGTCTGACCACTTGTTTATTCTCTGTTTCTTCTCATTTTTGGTCAATCAATTCCTTAGGCCTCGAGGTAAAGACCATTTCATGCTCACGGCCTTAGGAGTGTAAATGGATTGAATTCTAATCGGATCAGGCAATATCCAAATTCGAATCTGATTAAAAAAATTCGATATCCGAATTTGATTCGATATTTGACAGATATCAAAAATTAATAGTCGAATTCGAATCCAATTAAATATTCGAATTCGACTAATTAATTATTTTAGGTAATTAATAAATATATAAAATAAATATTTTATTCATATAAAGTATATAAATATATAAATTATTTATATAATTTAAGTATTATATATAAATTATATAAAACATTTAAAAATTTTATATAAGTTAAATAATCGATCGAATTCGAATATTTATCGAATCGAATAAGGTCATATATGAATTCGAATCTGATTAGCTATTCAGTATGAATAGGATATCTGAATTATTCAACCGATTAGATATTCGAATTATCCAAATTTGAATCGATTATGTCGAATCTCGAATTTGAAATCAGATTTTCGAATACTATTGACACTCCTACACGGCCTTACACAATGAAAGAGTAGATGTGGATAAAGGGTTTAACCTTTGAAAATGGCTCAAAGCACGAACTAAATAAAATGGATTCAAGATTCCACTACTTGTTCTTAAGAGTTCTTAAGACTGCAATCAAATTAAACTTTAGGTTGTGTTTGGTTGCAATGCAAATAAATTTGTACTGATGCGAAATTATGGCAGTGCAAATGATTTGAGTATAAATTCTCATCAATTTTTTAGCTTATTTTGTCTGATTGCAATACAAATGAAGTAAATTAAGGCATGAAGCAAAATAAAGTAAAACCTAAAACGAAATTAAACGACAATTTGCATTTCGTTTTCATTTGCACTTCCATGCATTTGTACTAGTGCAAATAAAGTTGCATTGCAACCAAACACATCCTTAATAAAATGGTTTGGACTCAAATTCGATTAGGCTCAATTCGAGTTTGATTATAATCGAGTTCAAACCTTGGGGTAAGCTTGATTAATTATTAGAGTTCAAGATTGACAATAAAAAGTTCAGCTCAAAAGTTTGCAAGCTTGGCTATTGTGTTCCTACTTCTTATTTTTATTATTATTATTTTTTTTGCTTTACTATTTCTTCTTTCTTGCTCATTTGGTTTTGGACTTCTAGTTGTGGTAGTAATTTCTTTCTCTCTCTCACTCTCCACTTTCTAAATACATGCATTATGCATTTAATTTTTTTATCATTATATTAAAATATCAATGTTTAAGTTAAACTTTTTTTAAAAACGGTTTAGGTTAAAACTTAAACATTGAGATATGATGAGTAAAAAATATCTAAAATATTAATAAGAGAAAAAATAAACAAGACAATAAGATAAATAATAAATTTAATAATTAATTAAAAATATTACTGTAATTATAAATAATATTTTTATATTGTCATTATAAAATTTCATAATTAATTATAATAATTTTACAATAACAAAGTAATAGAATTAAATTTCAATTTAAAAATGATTAATATAATAGAAAATTTAAAATAAATTATTATTTTATAATTTTAACAATAATAGTTATGTATCATAACTTAAATTACACATCAATAACAAATTATTAAATAAATTAAAATTTAATAATAGTAAAGATTATTAATTTAAGCTCAATTTAAGTTCAACTTAAAATAATGAAAAATAAACACAACAAGTCGGGCTCTTAGCCTTTGGCCACATCATCACATTTCACCATTGTAGAAAAGGTGAAAACTTCCCAAACATTAAGCATGTAGGATAATTAAAATAACTAAAATATCAATTTATTTTGATATTTTTAGTAATTAATTATTCATAAATACATAAATTTTTGAAAGCTAATTTATTCATATCAATCGTTATTGAATAATTAATTTTTATTATTTAAATATTAATTTGTTATTATATGGAATTAATTATATATCAGTATTATATGAAATTGATAATTATTACCTAAGAATTCTACTAGTCTTAAGATAATAATTTATATTGAAAATTTATAAAATTAATTTTCAGTAAGTTTATGTAATTTTATAAAACTATTTGTTTTGAAAAATAATTTTGGTAATAATTATTTTTATTCATATTTTCATTTACATTGGTATTTGTCAATTGATAAATATTAAATTGTAAAATTAATGGAGAATTTGAACTATATTTATAAATAATTTAATGAATATCTTTTATTGAGGAATACCAACTTCATTGATATACATGGACAGATACAAATAGATAATTAAATAAATAGATATGTATAATCATAAGATCTATGGTATTGAACCATAATAAAGGCATTGGTCTTTGCTTTATGTGTTATATATGATACAGAGTGAAGATGATATATCATTTTCAGGCAATTAACTATCTAGAGGTGTCCAGTGTAGTTTGAGTCAACAACAATAGTAGAGGACCACAAGGACATCCAAGAAAAAGAATCACATCTCAAATCATGACTCATCAAAAACCACTTGTTTATTTCTGGTGTTTCCTCTTCTCTTTAGTTGTTGGTAGCCATTGTTCCACTATTTAGAGTGAGGCTGCATTTCACACCTCCCTCTATGATGCTTGTAGCAGGCTTATCCTTTGATTAATGATTTATTTTCATTTATTAAAAAAAAAACCACTTGAACAAACAAGGCAATGAACAAAAAGGTACCTGTGATGCTTCATTTAAATCAGGTGTTGACTTGTTACTCATATTACAAAGCACACAATCAATTAATCTAAATAGCAAATAAACAAAAGCATATCTTCTAGAAATTTAAGCTAAAAAAAGTTGCATCAACAACCATATTATGCCCATAATTGATACCTTTCAATTAGTAAAGTATTATTAATCACATTTCATTGCTAAGGTTGATAAGAAGAGATGCTATGCTATCCTATCAGATTGATAATATAGGGGGATAGATTATGGATCTCCAATACTCACACATGAAAGTGTTCAAGAAAATGCTTATCTGTTTACTTCTCCATTTCCCAGTGTTCCCTTATGATTTCCATGAATACCAATTCTATGCAGCTTTACTAGGAATGGAGCCTTAATCACACCACCAAATCCTAAAGGTCCAAGATTTCCATGGAAATTTCCATCAAAATTTAGCTTAAGGTCAGCACTTTTTAGTGGTTTCTAGACCTTTAGGACTCTATGAACTAAAGTAACTGAGTGATTTTAAATAAATTGAAAAGAAAAAAAAATCAAGTTTGTAGTGGGGCCCACATCTCTCTTTCGTATAGGTTTTATGTGTTGGTAGGTCCCAAATATCTATTTTATATTGGTGAAGGCCACACATTTGCATATTTAATATGTTCTTGACTTGTATGTATAAAATTTGTACATGTGAACTCGTGCAAAATACAATCCATCATCCACTCCCATATCTAAATCTTTTCACTTTGGATTATCCTAAAATAAAATTCTTAGGTTCTCTTTATGTTAGTCTTTAAACATATGAACCTTAGATATTTGTAAAATGGTTTATATTCGTTTTGATGTATTATAATGAACAATCTAATTTTTATATTCGTTTTCTTTATTTTTCAGGTCAGACCAATACAAGAATCATAAAAAGGCATGGTTGAAGAAGATATTAGAGATCAATATTCTACATTTTTGTAAAAAGAATTTGGTATTTTTCATGACATTAATG